ACCGTCTTGTTTGCTCTGCTTTCTTATTCTGTTCACAGTGTGAAACCAGATCTCAAAGGTTGAAACATTTGATGTCTGTCTCTTGGAGCATATTAATTTCTTAACTGTAGTCATTTTTTTCCTGGGTGGGTTATCCACCGCAGAAAGCCTTACAAGAATGAGGAGGGCAAATGATTTAATGATCGCTCACTAGATTGCAAACCTAACTATGAATTCAGAGAGAGAAATTTGAAGAGGGTAGAAATTTGGCTTAGGTAACTGCTGTGTTATCAGTCAGATAATGTTCCAATCAAAAACAGACAGGAAACAGCGAAAGAGGGGATGAGGGTATGGAGTACGATGGCCAGGCAGCTTTCAAGGACCATTCCAGGCAAGACATAAGATTTTTGTTAATCTTTTACTTGCACACACGTACACTTACATGGAATTTTATTTATTACAAATTTTATGCTGAAAAACTTGTAGAGTATAATACTAAAAATGCTCTTACCTACTGGTTTCAATCAATATGAAAATCTGACTTTTGGATCCCTACACCTGTATTGTAAATAATTCATATGAAATTTATACATTCAAATATAGCCTGGATTTTTAATTTTATATATGTTATTTTCATAACCAATCCTTAATTTTTTTTATATTTGTTATTGTCCAATTTAACATCCCTGACACTAACACATTTTATTCATTCAAAGTTAAATATTTCTTCATTTATTAATCTCTCCTCTGTATTTGAGGAGAGGCCAATATTTACTATTGGCCTCTTTTAACATATGCATCTATGTAACTTATGCTATGAAATAGCTGTCTTTATTTGCCTCAATAGTTTAAATTTTCTTCACCACCTTTGTTAAACAAATACTTCATTATTTTATTTCATCTGACTTGTTGAATCAATATTCCAGAATGATCTAAATTTATATGTAAATATATAACATCAATTATGTAATTTCTTCTTAACTTAAAACTTTTCTTCTGTATTATTTGTGCTCTGAAAATCATGCAATTTTATTCTTTAAACCATCTGAATGGAAATTTCCTCTTATTTCTGGCCACATTTTTTTGGTGCTGTTTTTGATTTAAAAATTTGCAATTTTTGAGTGGATATCTGAAAAGATACTTCTGAATCTAAATCCTGGGAAAGCTTTGATGCACTCATTCCTTGCTTTTTTTTTTTTTTTTTCCCAACTCATGACTTTTTAGAATTATTTCACTGAGGTGAAATTCATAAATACACAATTAACCATTTTAAAGTGTACAATTCAGTGGCATTTATGCATTCATGAAGCTGTGCCAACCATCATCTCTCTCTAGTTTCAAATTCTTTCATCACCCTAGAAGAACATCCTATTCTTACTAAGTAATAACTCCCCATTTCCCCTGCCTCCATCTACTAGCAACCACTAAACTGTTGTCTGTCTCTATGATGTACCTGTTCTGAATAATTCTTATGAAAGGAACCATACAATATATGACCTTTTGTGTCCACCACTTTCACTTAACACAATGTTTCTAAAGTTCATCCACATTGTGGCATGCTATTAGTACTTAATCACTTTTATGGGTGAATAATATCCTATTGAATGTATAAAGCACATTTTAGTTATCCACTTATCCATTGGAGGAAATCTAGGTTGTTTCTACTACAAAGAATAACGCTGTTACAAACATTTGTGCACCAGTTTCCTTGTGAACATATGTTTTCACTAATCTTGGATATATACCTTAAGGTGGAATTGGCGGGTTGTATGGAAATTCTATGTTTAACTTTTCAAGGAACAGCCATACTGCTGTCCACAGAGGTTGCATCATTTTTCATTTCCACCAGCAATATTTAAGGGTTTTTATTTCTCTGCATCCTCACCAACACTTATTTCTTGTCTTTTGTTTAATTTTTATTATTATTATTATTGCCATCCTATTGTGTGTGAGAAGTATTTTATTGCGGTATTTGTGTTTCTTTAATGTCCAATATTATTTCATATCATTTTATGTGCTTGTTTGCCATTTGTATACTTTCTTCATAAAAAAAATGAAAGCCTATTCAAGTTCTTTGCCCATTTTTTAAATCTAGCTTTTGTTTTGTTTCTTTTTGTTTTTGAATTTTAAGAATTCTTTATTTAGTCAAGATATTAAATCCTTATCAAATATACGATTTGCAAATATTTTCTCCCATATATAAGTTGTCTTCACGCTTTTGATAATGGTCCTTGAGGCACAAAAGTTTTCAATTTTAATGAAATCCAATTTATTTTTTTATTGTTACTTGTGCTTTTGGTGTCAAATCTAAGAATCCACTGCTAGATCTAAGATGGTAAAGATTTCTCATATGTTTTCTTCTCACAACTTTCAAGTTTTAGATTTTATATTGAGGTTTTGTATCCATTTGTGTCCAGTGCTGTATCTGAAGTGAAGTAGGTGTCCAACTTCATCCCTTTGCATGTGAGGGTCATCGAGCTACTGGTATCCTTGCTGAAAATCCCACAGAATATTCTTAATGCACTCATTGAAAATCAATTCACCATGAATACTTGATTGTGTTTCTTTCTCTTTTTCTTTTTTGGTAATTTGTGAGACAGAGGGAGATAGAGAGCACAAGCAGGGGGAGCGTCAGGCAGAGGGAGAAGCAAACCCCCAGCTGAGCAGGAAGCCCAATGTGGGACTCGATCCCAAGACCCTGGGATCATGACCTGAGCTAACGGCAGATGGTTAACTGACTGAGCCACCCAGACATCCCTTGAGTTTGTTTCTATCCTGATTTTATCCTATTGATCTTTACGTCTATCCTTACGACATTACTACACTGTTTGATTAATGTAACTTTCTTTGAACTAAGTTTTGAAACTGGGAAGTGTGAAGTAACCAACTTTGTTTTTCTTTATCAACATTGTTTTGGCTATTTGGAGCCTCTTGTAATTCTATATGAATTTGAGGATTGGCTTTTTCCATTTCTGCAAAATAAGAGTCTTTTTTTTTAACATATCGAATTGAATCTATAGATCACTTCAGGGATTGTTCTCATTTTAAGAGTACTGTTTTCTAATCCATGAACATGGGATGTCTTTCCCATTTAATTAGGTTTTTAATTAGGTATTTAATTAGGTAATCTTTAATTTCTCTCAGCAAAGTCTAGTAGTGTTCCATGGACAAGTCTTATGCATACTTGGTTAGATTTATCCTAGGTATTTTATTCTTTTGGATGCCATTGTAAATAGAATCATTTTCTTAATTTTCTCTTGAGTTATTCATTGCTGGTGCTGAAAATCAAACTGATTTTTGTGCATTGATAATGAGAATAGCTAATGTTATATTGCAAGTATTAAATGGTAGGCATTGTTCTAAAAGTTTTACATATTTATGCTTTCAGAATACTAAAATGGGTTGCAATAGCCCATAAGATAAAGGTACACTGTATTAGCATGGCATACAAGGCTGTTCTCTTTAGGTCTCAAACTATAATTCTATCTATTGTGTCTACACTGACACTGAAACAGCTCACTGTCACTGAACACACTACGTGCTTTCATCCCTTGATGTTATGCACAATTGATCCTTTTAGGCTAGGATTTTTGCCCCATCTCATCTGTTTGAGAAACTCCCACTCATCCTTCAAACGTTAGCCCAATAATTTAACAGAGGGTACTCATTGAAAATACAGCATTTTAGAGGGGAGTTGGGTGGGGGATGGGTGAAACAGGTGAAGGGGATGAAGAGCATACTTATGCTGGGCACTGAGTAATGATGTATAGAATTGTTAAGTCACTATATTGTACATATATATAGTCAATATATATGTCACTATATAAGTCAATATATATGTCAATATATAAGTCACTATATTGTACATATATAATTAAATATATAATATATATTTATATTTATTATTATATTAAATTAAATATATTAAATTAAATAAATTAAATAAATTAAATTAAATATGTATATTTAATTATATAATAATATAATTATAATGCTGCATGTTGAATATATTGGAATTAAAATTAAACAAAAACTTAACTAAAAAGAAAGAGACTTAGCTCAAATGTTGACTAAGCTACTTAATCAGCTCTCTTGTTATCTTGCAACTTGTATGTACCTCTTTTATAATCCATTAATCTGTGTTGCCATTATCTTTTCTGCCTATCCTGTTGCCCTTCACTATACTGAACTAGCTGGATGTAGGGACTGTATTTTACATGTATTTGAGCTCTAGGGCTTGGTGCAATATCCAACAGACTGGATTTTCCATAAAACTTTCCTAAATGAATGAAGGTACCGAACACAAAAAGACAATCTGCTTTGCACAAAATGTGCTCAGCCTACTTCCTTCATCCAAAAAGCAGTCATTCCCCTACATGTTTTTTTTTTTCTTTTAAGATTTTATTTATTTATTTGAGAGAGAGAGAGAGAGCACGCACCAGTGAGAGCGTGAGAGAGAGCAGGAGCAGGAGCAGAGGAGAGGGACAGAAGGAGAAGCCAACTCCCACCCCTTGCATGGTTTAAATCAAGAGAATTAACTTTGTTATTAAACACACTAGTGGTAGTGAATGAGGAGTCTCTATTTTTCTTCTTCCCTTTCTCTAACCCAAAACACAAAGATCCTCTTTGTCCATCTAAAAACAAATCAGAGCAAAAATAAACATGGAAAGCCTAGAAATATGGTCTGTTATACGCCAAGTCAAAGCCTCTAAGAACATTCCCCTTAAACTAGCATGAAAACAAATGATGGAAAGCAAAATGAAAAGAGAAGCAAAACAGAAAGAAGACCCAAATGGGCTTCCAAAAGATCTGAGTAGTGTTTATACCTTTTATTAACAGCGTGGCACGGACTCTGTATTTTGCCTCTGTCAGCCTCAGCTTCCTCATCTATAAGGTGGAGCCAACATGCCCTGCCCCCCACACCACAGATTTATTGGTGTGAGTCTCAAGAGAGAGGAAGCGTTTGAAAGTACGCTACAAAATACAATGTGCTCCACAAGAGTGTGTAGCTGTTCACTCACCGAACACAGTTCTTGCAGGCACAGATTCTCTGTTAAGCCAGAATGACACTTGGGAGAGAATGACAGTCATGATGCAAGGCAGATATGTCTGAATCACAAAATACCCAATTTTTCTTTTCAAGTGGAAATGAGCTGTCATTACGGTATATTCACCTAGAAGAAAAATTTAAGAAGCTTAAGGAACTGTAATAGTCAATAGTTTGAATATTTTGGAAATGGAACAGATTTGAGAAAGAACAATCCCTGATTAAAAAAAAAAAAAACAGAATTTATCACATATACGACATGAGAAGTATAAACCTTTAAATGCCTCTTTAGCACAGCAAGAATATTTAAGAGAATTTTAATATTACCAAGAAACTTGCACTACATGTCCAAGGCATGACATTTGTTTTTCTCTCCAGGTCATGCCTACTGACCAAAAAGATACAGGATTCGCAAATGCTCTCTGACCGTGAATTATCTTACGTGCTCAGATCTCTGATCCCCACTGGTACCAACTTCAAGCCTCTGCTTTGATTGTTCTAATTCCCTGGCTTTTTAAAGTGTCAGTCTCTGGCCACATCTTTAAGACTAACCCCAGGCTTTTGGCCCAAATTTTCCACTTTTGACCCTGTCACCTATTCTGAATCTCTCAATTGTGTACATCGACTCTAATCTACTGTTGTCATTTCTATCCAATCCTGAGAGCCTTTCCTTTCTGCTTCCCCGCAGTTAGATATGCCAGAGATAAAATCATTAGTTCAACATGGCAGCTTTCTTAGAGGAGTGTGATCCTTAGGAAGGGCATCAGCTTTCCCACACCCACCAGTAGTAATGATCCAAAATTCAAGAGTTGAATAGTCACAAGCTATTCTGAATAGAAGGAAAAGAATTAGAAAACTAGGAAAACTGTGACGCTGTTTGATAATAAAATTGGCTTGTCTGCAAAGTCACACTCTTTTTGAATTGAGAGTATATTTTAACCCAGTGTTTCTCAAACTTTATGTAAACCTCCTTAGAATCTCCTTGGATCTTCTTAAAATACAGATCTTGATTGAGTAAGGGGTCAGGTCAGAGACAGTAAATATCTAAAAAGCTCCTACAATATATGCTGCTAGTTCCTGGACCCCAAGAACAAAACTTTTTAAGTAAACTAACGTATTTTAGTGACTTCAACCCATCGATTTTCTTAGAAACTAGTTTAAGAGTCATTTTACTAACCTGTACTGGACTTAATTGTTTCTTTTCCAATTGATTGGCCCAGCAGATCATACTGATTTAACCTGGAGCCATCAGGAGCAACTTGTACTGAATCAGATGCATTATAAGTCCAAATATAAGTGACCTCTGAGGTTGTGTAGGCATCTGTAGGAAATCAGAAAAAAATATTTAAGCACTTTAGTATAAACCAACAATAAAGTACAATGTCAAGGGTTATATATATTGCATATAATCACTATTTATTATAAAAACTGATTTTACAGATCTTATTTTGTATAGTAAATATATCTTTAAAATTTAAAATTTTTAACATGAAGAGTATGAAGTAGATCAAGAGAGAAAATCATGACCAAAGATTATTTTCATTACAACCACTTTGAGAAGTGAACAGCAAATTTCTCTTCAGAGCCTGCAAAAATCACTGGGCCCTGAGATGGTTAAAACATCCACCATAGTTCCAAAGTAATATATAAAGACATTGTAGTACACAGATTATAAATGCCTAAAGCCCACTTAAATGGTTTATTTAGAAATAGCAATCACTCATAAATAACATTTATAATTCAAATTGATATTACTCTCTGGGCATAAAAGTAACTTATTATCATATGAGAATACTGATGAAATGCAATCTATTTATTTTAAGTACTATTTTCGTAGTTTGTTTTATAGGTTTTTCTTCAAAACCTTCACCTAGTTAAGAATTAAATGACTTAACTATCATGATACAGTGCATTCCATTAAAAGAATGAGAACGAATTGTTGCAGAACATGTAAAAATAAATCAGAATGCTATAGTTTCATCAAATACTCCTTAAAACATGTTCATTTTGAAATTAATGCACACAGACCTCACTGGACTATACTTTCATAGCACCTCCATTATGGATTGGCCAGATATAAAACACATACAGACCAAATATAACCTTCTGATTTATCTGGCCAAAGATACAGAACTTAGTGGAAGTTAGATAATTCTAGCACTAGAATTGTCTTAGCTGCTCTCTGGCCCTGGCATTTCCTTTAAGCCTGCATGTCCGGGAGGGGAGCAACTGATCTCTCCATGCGGGAACTCTCTCCACAGTGGAATTAACAGCCAATTCTTGCTATAGTATTGACTTTTTGAAGAACTTCTTTGTACTTTTGCTCATGGGAATGTTTAGAAGTATTAGCTACTCCTGGTTCTTGAGCAAAACTCAGTATCACAGTTACATTCTCAGTTTAAGGACTAGTTGTTTCCAGCAATATCTCTGCCCACTAGATCTCTGGGACTCTGGGAAGTTCATTTACAAGCCATATATAAGTCTTCTAGTTTGATAGTGTTGTTCTGGGGTGGCCCTGCTACTTACCTTGGTCTGATGTTGACAGATCACAGACCAACTCACACTTAAGCATCAGTCACAATAAAGGGAATGTTCATGAGTTTGTGTCTTATTTGTTGTGTGGTCTTAATGACATACTACAATGTTGTCTGGTTTCTGCATGTTACTACTAAATGCTCCTATCAGTGAAATACTGTTTTCATTGTACACATATTCACCTATATCCATAATTACATTCTGTGAAACAATTTTTGAAATAGGACTCTAAAAATATGTAGATGTGTGTGTATCTTTATAAATGTGCATATATATATATATAGCAAATATAGTCCTATGGTTTGCATATGAATGAATTCTAGTTACTCTAGGATCTAAATTTGTAGTAATTTTGATTAGTTAATCATTGGTGATTCTGCTGCTAGGATTAAATAAGGGACATCAGTAATGTGTGTAACTAGCAACCCATTTGCACAATATCAAGTGGCTTTTTTTTCAATGAATAAGCATTAGTAGTTGTGAATATCAATAAATTATGAACTTTTTTTAAGTATAATGATTCCACTCTTGAATTTTGATGTTTATTTTTAAACATAAATAAGAGAAAATGAAACCCTACAAATGCAGCGACATTTTTAAGAAACTAGTGAGACACCGAGGGGCAAGGACTCTATCTTGTTCATAACTACAGCGCTTGCACCTGGCACAGGGCCGGTCACCCAGAAAAAGTTCTGTTTGTTTTTGCTAGATTAATCAATAAACTCTTCATATTTTAATTACGTTATTTACTTTTACGGAAGAAGGAATCTGCCGAGGAGCCCAAGAATATGCTAAAGAAGGTGAGTGATCCTGCCCATGTCTTTGAAAAAGGAATTATAGCATTTGATTAGATAGGAAGATGTTTTTTAGATTTTGAGTCTAGTAAGAGAAAATAGAGCAGAAAGTCATGCAGCTTACAGGCGTTCCCGGTCCGCCAACACACATATAAACCAGGAGGCCACTGCACTATTTTTCAGTAAAGTATAAAGGAGAGAAAGATAGTTTGGTTTACAAATTTCCCTATAAATTCCATCTCTAAATTAGATTTTCATTGAATAATTTCATTTAATTCTCTTAAATAACCCATTTTTCAGTCATAATCTGCATTAAACATCAAATGCATCCTGACTGATTCTTAGTATTTGGTAACCAGAAAAAAAAATTCCCGAATCATTTTTAATTATTAATTTTCATCCCAAAAGATGACATAATTTCTTTTGGGTCAATGCACAGAACACATCCAGACTCCCATTTAGGAAATTTTAAATCATGTTAAGCAGCAAGAAAATACATAAAGACGTGAGGCAACAGAAATAAAGCAAAACAAAAATGAATTCAAAATTATAAACTTATACAAAAGATGCATGTTTAAGAACAATGATAAATTTCCAGAAATTCTATCACTTTAGTGGGCTTTTAAGCAAGAGAGGAATAAAAAACTAGAAGGCAAAGCCACGGCAGTTTCTGACAAAATCTGTTGTGTCAACATTTTAAGGCAGTTTAAAGCTTGTGTTGGCTTGTTAATATATTACAACATGCTAATGCCCATACTTTTTAATTTTATTAATATTTATTTATTTATTTATTTATTTATTTATGAGAGACAAAGAGAGAGAACTAGGGGTGGGAGGAAGGGAGAGAGGGAGAATCAATCTCAAGCAGGCGCCAAGCTCTCTGAGGAGCCTTGAATCTGGATTTATCTCAAGACCCTGAGATCATGACCTGAGCTGAAATCAAGTCTAATGTTTAGCCCACTGTGCCACCCAGGGGGCCCTTAAAGCCCATCTTTTTAACGCTTAAATATCAACCACTTACTATTGGCAAGGATAAATAAAAGAATATACAAATCAAATTTTTTATTCAATGTGTTAGAAAATAAATGAAGAAAAATAAAAAGCAATTACTTAGAGAATGCCTAACAATAAACTTTGTTTGTTTTCTGTATCACTTCTAGATACAGAAACTCACACATACAATATTTCACTATTCTGTATAAGGGATTTTTAGATTTTATTTAAAATATTTTCAGGCATATTTATTTCATATTCAGAATTAAGACATCACGTTATTTATATTTGTTGCTTTAACGGCACTAACTTGTCCAGTGAAAAATTCTTTTCCTTCTTATACCACTACTGCATTTTGAATAAATCCTTTCGTTGGTTATCAAGGCTTTTCAATTTTCTCTTTAATGCCATTTATGTGATGCAAATGAGTTTCTCTCTGCTGCATCTGCTGTAGTTTTTCTCCATCATGTTTACTTCGTGTAACATGATTGACTATCTTAAATAATTTTGGGAAAAATGCCAGTATTGAAGTGATAGTTTCCATGACAATAAAAGAAGGCTTTGTAGTTAAACAAAGAAGAGATACTCAAAGAAAATTGAGAGCTGACACCTTTTGTAAGAATAAACAGAAAAAGATTGAACTTCTCATTCCACAAAACTATGGTCATCCAAATAATTAGAAGAGTTTGCATTCATCTTAGCCATCATTCTCTTTTCTTTCACTTAATACATCTGTGGAGTGAAGGCACCTATTCAATCACGCATATTTTTAACCAGGTGAGGGAACTGCATTTCTGTTCAACTGAATGAAAAGTCAAAAGGTGCCTCGAATGGATAAAGATGGGGATAATAGAAAGAGCAAGGTTTCTGAAAAGGTCAGGTGATGGGACATGCTAACACCAGAGAAACTGTTCCAGCTGTGTCCATGAATTTATTGTGAACCTGCTCTAAATGTGGGCCTGGGGAGATGATTTGACCTCCCTTCTTTTCAATTATTCCGGAAGAGTGAATGCTTCTACTTGACATACAAGATACAACCTCAGTGACCTAGAGAATGGCCACATGCACAGAGCCTTTTCTGAAATATCTTATGTAAGCAGAAGATATAACAAATCCAGTTACTCGTTTCCTTAAAATTTATTTTAGGAAATTAAAAAAAAAATCTTCCATTATTTGGAAAGTAGGAAGATAATTGCACAGAGCCAGCTTCTGTGTCTGCCATTTGCAAAAGGCTTAACAAACAATATCATCTACCCCTTACAGTTCATTCCTAGTAACCAAAAAAAAAAAAAAAAAAAAAATGCATTTTTAAGGGGCTAGCACTTAGAAAAGAAGGTAAATGACATGGTCTTGACCTTCACAAGCAGCTCCTGGACTACCTTCCCATGTATAAAAACACATGATGTTCTTTAGTGGCAGTAAAGTGATGATTTAAACATCATGATTAAAATATAATGATATTTGATAGGGCACCTGGGTGGCTCAGTGGGTAAAGCTTCTGCCTTTGGCTTGGGTGATGATCTCAGGGTCCTCGGATGGAGCCCCACGTCAAGCTCCCTGCTCAGTAGGGAGCCTGCTTTCCCCTCTCTCTGCCCACTGCTCTGCCTACTTGTGATCTCTCTCTCTGTGTCAAATAAATAAATAAGATCTTTAAAAAAAAATAAAAAGAGAAAAAATATATATAATGATATTTGAGAGTGCCATAGGGGTAGACAATTAGTTCCTAGAGGGAAATCAGCAAGTCTTTTACTCCTATATTTTTCTGGGCAAATATTAAGCATTCCATAATAGTAGAAGAAACCATACCGGTAAGCAATGATGGCCACCCTGGATTTTACAGGCCCAAAACATGTACCTTCATCCCCATACTTACAGCTGCCAAATTTCAGAGGACATGAATGAGCGTCCATGGGAAAGTCCTCCAAGTGCATTGGACATTCAGCTTGAACTGTAAGCCTAAAAGCAAAAATTTCACTCTTTGTTGAAGTAAATTGACAAGTCAAGATTAATCACTCCTCCCTGTTCTCAACAGCATCAAGGATGAGGTAGGACTTTCCTTATAGCATTGAATTAGGCTGATTCACATTTAAATGTTTATTTAGGTGATCCTTCAAAAGACATGAGCATATATAAAAACTGAGCTCAAATAACAATATTTATTTACAAACATTTGGAACTCTGTAGTTTGTTAAGAACTAAAGAAGTTTTTTGTTTTTTGTTTTTATTAAGAAGTAAAGAAGTTATATACATATTTTTGAAGGGCTATTTTCACATTAACATTCACTATGACGTTTAAAATCCTGGGGAAAAAAAAGAAAAAAAAATTCTCTTATCATGAAAAGAATGCTATCATTTTCCCTCGTGTCATCAGCAACCATAGAACAAAACTGATACAAGAATTCAATACTAGCTCATAAGAGTTCCCTCCAAAATATGTCAACTGTGAATGAGTATCACATACTATATACAGGTACATGGATTTAAATATAAAAGTAGATACAGATAATATATAGATATGCCTCTTAGAAATACCTTGTTGAAACTAGACTATGGGCTAAATTATGGACACAAGCAATGTACTATTAAATAAATATTGTTTTTCTATACCTACATGATCACATTAAAGAGTAATCACAGCAAAAAAAAAAAAGTAATCATAACAAACTTGTTATAAAGACAGTCATCAATTATTCCATTTCACACACAGGTAAAATGGATAGAAATGGTATTAAACTGAACTTAGAGAAGACTCTTATGATGAGCAAAACAAATGTGGCCAACAATTTAATTATTACATATACTTCTAGGAGATTATTTAAGTAGAACACCAAGAAATATTTTCCAAAACTGTATGTTCTCTGCCAACATTTTGTTTAACGCCAAAATTTCCCATCATTGTCTTAATCCACGGGAATATTCAAAGTGTAAAACCAACAGAGATTTGCATCTGTATTATAAAATTCAGAGAGAGAGGCAAAGAATAGCTAGCACTTCCATTTTAGGCAATGGCCATTTAGTAATCAGTCCTCAACAATTTTTTCTTTAAAGATCGGGATTATATTTTTCCGCTTTTTAAATAACTTACACAACTGAAATCTACCACCTAACATTTCATATGAAATAATAACACATCAAATGTTTAGAATACATATCTAATCTATATTTAATGCTAATAAAAATTACCCATGTTTCAAAGCCTTTATTAAGCATTTAATTTTTAGATTATACATCACTTTATTAGGTTTGTGATTGTTTTCTTTCTTATATAAGTAACTTATTTTAAAAGATTAATTTATGAGTAGAGTTAAAATGTAGTAGTTGCTATACTATAAATATAAATATATACTGTATATGTAAATATACAGTCAGCAACTGTGTATTTCTTTAATTTTTAAAAAAAATTTATTTATTTATTTGAGAGAGAGAGAGAGAGAGAATGGGTGGGAGAGGGGCAAAGGGAAAGGGACAAGCAGACTCCCCACAAAACTGGGAACTTGATACTGGGCTCTATCCCAGGACCCCGAGATCATGACCTGAGCCAAAGTCAGATGCTTAACTGACTGAGCTGCCCAGGTGCCCTTCTTTAGATAATTTTTTAAAGGTTGAATCATATGAAATTTATGCTACGTGATACTATTTGACTTATAAAATGGCAATTTATATTGTTCAATCTAATATATATGCTTATGGTATTTGTAAACCTTATTAAATAAAAACTACCTCTTGAAAAAGTTTTTTTTCTTTAGATTAACTTAGGAGGATCAAAATATTAAGTAAAAGCTTGCTTAAAAATCACTTAAAATGTTGATGGCATATCTGACGAAATACTAAAAATAAAATTACATGATGGTATAAAGGAAATTTTAAATTATGACATTCAAACTGTACTTAATTAAAATGTAATGTGAAAAAGAGATAGACAAAAACAATTCTTAATAGTTAAGGTAATGCTTAAGTTTTAACACTCAGATGATAATCAGTCTCATAAACACTATTTTATCTTATTTTATTTACCTTTTTAGAGAGAGAGAGAGCGTGTACAAATGTGCATGAATTGGGGGAGGGGGCAGAAGGAAAGAGAGAGATAGAAGGAGAATCTTATTAAGCAGGCTCCATACCCAGCACAAAGCTAGACATGGGGTTGAATCTCGCGGCCCTGAGATCACAACGTGAGCAGAAATCAGGAGTCACATGCTTCACAGAGTCACTCAGGTGCCCCTGTTTTATCTTATTTTAATATCTAGGGATTTACAAAGCATGCTATGGTTATCTCAATAATCTGTTATAAAAATATTCAATTTGTGGGGCACCTGGGTGGCTCAGTGCATTAAACCTCTGCCTTTGGCTCAGGTCATGATCCCAGGGTCCTGGGATGGAGCCCCACATTGGGCTCTCAGCTCAGCAGGGAGCCTGCTTCCTATCTCTCTCTGCCTTCCTCTCTGCCTACTTGTGATCTCTGTCAAATAAATAAATAAAATCTTTAAAAAAATGTTCAATTTGTGCTAATACTTGACAACTAGGTTGGTTGTTTAATACATGGATTTTCAGTACTTAAATGCAATATATCAAACCTGAAAGCTTACCTCATTGTGTACAGCAGAGTCCCATCGTCCTGGATTCGAAGAAGCTTATTTGGCATTGTCATATTATGAGCGACAGATTTCTTCCCATTGTGAAAGAAGGTATCAGGAGTCCAGATTTTGCTAGCCATTAAATTGTTAAGTCGAAGAATGTTCATAGGACCTTTAAATTTTAACCGTTCATCTTTCCATTTTTGTCGAAAGAAAACATCAATTGTATATTCCTGAAATAGAAAATAGAATTCTTTGGAAAATAATAAATGTTTCAGACATAAGGTCACCATAACATTCCAACAAAAATAGTAATAAAAAGAGTGTAAAAAGAGAGACTACTATACTGAGAGAAGAAAGTTTTGAAAAATTATTTATCAATAAATGTTGCCACTTACAATGAGATAAGCATGTATATATATACAATTAGCCACATATTATGAAAAGAAAAGTTTAAGTCTACTTTATCCTGGCCTCTTTCAATCGAACAAGGTCTTAAACTGCTTTCCTGCATCCTACAACTTGAGTAAAGGAGAGGGAGCATGCTTGGGAGAAGGGTCTTGGTTATTGTTCTAAGTAGTTTATCTCAAGAAAGGGTAAGCAGGCAGCCTTCTCAGTAGCAAAAAAAAAAAAAGCAGGAAAAAAGAAACAACTATTAAACATACTGTCAAATCTGTATGAGTCATCATCTGCTGTTGCTAAAAGAACTATAAAATATCATATTTCTTTTTTAATCCTAAAAAAAAAATGGTGAGATACCATATTGCTAGCAAGAATGTATTAGTGGATGATAATTTCAATAGAGTTTATTTTATAAAATTCGTTGTAATAAAAATACTTAGACAAGTTATTGTAATAATTAAAATACAAATATTTTACAAATAAATGCCCTCAGGTTAAAATGTACTTTTAAATATTCATACAGATGAGCTAGTGGTCAATTCCTATATTACCACTGTTCAACACTTTGAGGTTGCTTAATCAATCAGTATGTCTTTCTCACCTCCTCTTTCTCACTCCCCTGCTCCCTGCCTTCCTCTCTCTCTCTCTCTCTCTCTGTCCTTTTTAGAATAGACTGTATACATTTTAGACATGAGGTCCAATTCACAATTGTGATTAACACTGATAATCTGTTAGATATTAAAATTTTTGTCAGTGTGTTTTTGTGCAAACACTTACATGATAGATCATCAAAATACTCAATTACACACTTGAGAATGGAAATTCAGAAACTATCCTTTGAGCCCAAAGCCACAGTCATCACATTTGAAATAAACACCTTAGCAACTGGCAATTTCATCCAACCAAAATTATGCATATGAAAAAGGATAGATTAAAAAGGCCATGTACTTATGAAAATATCAAATTATTTGTACAAACTTTAATCAAGTAAATGATTCCAGTGATGTCTCAAAAACTGAATGGATTAAAAGAAAAAATATCAACCATAGGTCATGATATATGAACAGGAAGTAAGCAAAGGCTCTGGGTTGTGTCCCTGTTCCTTAGGAGACAATTTCATGATTAAACGGACACTCATCTCAGTGGTTTAGTCCTAATTTTAAAATGTTCAATTCCGTATAGATATAACTCAGTTTTTTAAAAAAACATCTAGATTAAGAGATGAATCTTCACTATCTAAGTGTTTATGCAAGTGTTTCTTTCCAATTATGGTTCCCTCAAATCCAAGCCTAATGTGAATCCTTAAGACATTTATTTGCCCAGGAAAATTGAATGCATTTTACAACTTTTTATAAAACCTCAAACTCAAATTTTCCATTTCTGTAAAATTATAAGTTTTATCTGTTTCAGAAGCTGTTGCTAAGGCAATCATTTCCTGCAGATTTACCCTATAGGAGATACACAAGGTTTATAAGCAGGAAGCTTCAGGTGAGTTCTTTTTGAAAAGTGTTTTCAGGAACACTGTTTCTGAGCATTCATGGTGTCCTAAGTATGTCCTGTCAACCTGTTGAGAAAGATCTGTGCCTTTTTTCCCCCACCCACTCCACCCAGGTACTCACATTATGTTGTTGGCAATTTTAACAATCCCCACTTCTTACCATTTCTCACCTAAAGCAAGTTTCTTACCTGCCTGAGTCAGGAACTATTCATAACCACAGTCTCAGTCCTTTGAACACCCAGAAAATACATAGCCAGATGTCTGTGTATCTTCATGACTCGTAAAGTGTTCTATTACTGTAAGATCCCATGCTGCAATGGTATGTTTGTTCCTCTGCCTCCAGACAAGCTTGCAAATCTTCACAAAAGGCATGATGGCTTTCATTTGTGTATTATCTTAGTTTGTTTTCAGACATATATGAGAGTATAAAGAATATAGTAAACATCTTGTAACCATTACCAGCAGAAATGCCACCTCAAATATTATTGAAGCCTTCTCTCTCATTTATTCCTCCTCAATCACATTCCCCTAACTCTCCGAGGAAATAATTATCTTGGATTTGGTGTTTATCATTCCCATACAGGTGCTTAAATATTTACCACATAAATATATGTATTTCTATATCACATTTTCAACATTTATGTAAATGGCATCATATAATGTGTATACTTTCCTGACACTAACTTTCTTAGCTACATTATCGAAATTCATTCATGGTAATTTATCTAGTACTTTGATCCATTTCCATTGCTACACAGCATTATCTTTTAAGAATATTTCACAATATTCTCCCTTTTTCTATGTTCTCATTTTTTTTTCTATTTCCAATCTGTTATATAGCAAGTAATACTGCTACGAGCATTATTATACTACACTTTCAGAACAAAGACCTAAGAGTTACTCTAAATAAGAGCAAACTTTCTTTCTAAAGGGCCAATTAATAAACACTGTAGGCTTTACAGGTTGTACAGTATTACAACCACCCAATTTTGCTACTGTAGAGTGTGAAAGTCTTCACTGATGATACATAAATGAGTCAGAGTGGTTATATTCCAGTAGGTCTTTGTTTATAAAAATAGGTAACTGATAGGATTTGGCTGATGGCCCACAGAATATCCACCACTGCTGTAGAGTAAACCTACATGTGGGAATACCATAATGTATGTTATGTATATCCTCAACATAACAAGATATTTTCAAATTGAAATCCTAGAGGTCTGTACCCATGAACTCTCTTGTTTGTGTACAACTTGATATAAATAGAATATTTCATTTTAGCCATTGTGGTTAGTGTGGAATGGCTGATACTTCTACCATTGGATTTCTCTATTGACTAGTGAAATTTAACATATCTTCATATATTTATTAAACACTCTACTTTTTATGAAGGGTCTGTTTATTTCATGTACTCCATTTCCTCTTGGGTTGTATTTTTATTATTGAGTTATAGAAATTATTTACATTTTCTGAATATAAATATTTTAAATATTAAGTATACTATTAAGTATATTTACTGCTCAGTAAGAATTATAATAAAGATTATAAAGGTATGCAAATATCATAAATACATCCCTGTACATTTCTTCTAAAGATGTGAAAGTTCTGCTTTTTAACATTTAGGTTATGGAATTATTATGTATTATATGAGAAAAAAGTTCAACATGTTTTTTTGTTTGTTTGTTTGCTTGTTTTCAACTTCCTAGTACTATTTATTGACTGATTCATCTTTCTCCACAGATTTGTAATGACATTTCTCTGATGTATATAGTGCCCATACCTATGTACCCAGTGTCCATGTTTCTGAGATTTCTCTTCTTTGCTATTGTTTATTTATCGCTGCATTAATTCCAAAGTCATGGTTACTACAGTTATATAATAAGCATAATTAATAGTATTTTCAGTATTATTCAGTCAAAGGCAATTTTTAATTCCCATTATGGCTTTTCTTTTTCTTTACATAAGAGATACTGTGAAGTACGTTTGTATTTCCAAATGTATTGGTTTCCTTAATTATATTTTTGTCATTGATGTTTAATTTTGCTGGATTTCAATAAGTGACTATGTTCTGAAGATACCATTTCCAATTTATTAAAAATATCTTTGGATATAATGGTAATTCAGTCCATTTACATTTAATGTGATTACTTACATATCGGACATATCCCCAGGCTGTATTGTTTTTAGCAGTGACAATTAAAATTATGAAGATAGAAGGGATCACTTATATAGATGCGTCATGATTAACTTATGAAAATAAGGGGGAAAAATTCTAGAAAATTAAAGAAAATGAACCATTGAAGAGCAGAAATACACACACACACACACACAATAGCAGGAAAGAAAAATACCAAACCAAGGAAAAAGAAAATTTAAGAAGCATGTAGAGATAAACAGTGTCAAACAGGGGTGCCTGGGTGGCTCAGTGGGTTAAAGCCTCTGCCTTCAGCTCAGGTCATGATCCTGGGGTCCTGGGATCGAGCCCCATTCTCTGCTCAGCAGGGAGCCTGCTTCCCTCTCTCTGCCTGCCTCTCTGCCTAGTTGTGATCTCTGTCAAATAAATAAATAAAATCTTATAAATAAATAAATAGATAGATAAATAAAAGTAGTAACTGAAGCCTTGCTAATAGAGAATATAAAGAAAGATATTGGCACTCTCACTGCCCCCATAAATCGATGCTGGTCATAGAGGTAAACCACTCAGGAATGGTCGAGTGATGTCTCCTTCATTTGCTCTTAGTGTTTTAGAATCAGGTGAATTTGCAAGTTATAGAATTTAGTTTTGATTAAATTAACTCGAACAAAAATAGACAAATGGCTTCAAAAGATCATTGCTAAATGACAGCATGGATTGAAGAAAACACTAATCATTACGCAAGCACAAGTGAACAACAACAGCGAACGAGTATCTGTTCTATGCCTAACATGAGGTCTTCATTAGCCACATAAAAAATGGTGAACTAATCAAGTCTTACAAGAAATCTGCAAAGCAAATTTATAATTATCAATGGGGCTATTTAAAGTATGAGTTCATAACCACTGTTTCCTAATGATGACATTCATCTTAAGCACATATTGTACCCTGGAATAATGGTTACTGTGGCATAAGGCCATTGCAAGCAGCAAGTTGTTTTAAAAACTAAACACTCAGAACATGAGGAGAAGCACTTAGAATTGGTGGATGACTTTTTAAAAATTAGCGTGATGGTTCAGTAACCAATAGCCAATGACAGATTTCTTAGATTTGAATTTATGTATCTTTTTCACCCATAAGTTACCAAAATAAATATTAAAATATAAATTTAGAATAAGATCTTTGATTGTTATTATTTTAAA